ACTCGCTCTCCCTCGCTTTCCCCTTCTTTCTGGCGCTCACTCTTTCTCACGCTCTGTCTCTCTCTATATATATATATATCTATCGCGGCCAATTATTCTTGATTAACGGATGCAATCAGCAAGAATGTCTGCCGATAATATAGTAGTCTTTATTCGCACGTCGTGATGCATAATTGCATAAATGCATAATTGTTAAACCTTCTATCACAGAGAAGCGCGGCTTCAAAGTCTTTCACAGACGTGCAGACGTGCTTTCAAAATTGTCATGGTAATTTACAATACGCGGCCAATATTTCAATGCCGCAGTACAAAAGGAAGAGGGACGATCTTTAATGCTTTACATTTGAGTGTCGCAGTGGCTGATATGTGCGGAAAAGCGTTTAGTCGGTATCTTCGCGTGTCGATAAAGCGAGAAATGCTTTAATTCGACGCTTTTTTTCGAATGATTCATCGCTGAGAAATGTTATTTAAACGCTTATTTCACGTGCATTCAGATCGTCATTTTACATCACGTCTTGACCACTCTCCACCATGTTACGACTGCTGCGTTTCTGACCTCATAATGCCAGCGGTGGAATACGTTTCACGTATCCCTCAGTATCACTGCCATTTACTAAGAAAATCATTTCTAAAGACTTCCCGATGTAGGATTCGAAGTTGCAAATCTATACTGCATACTGATGTTTGCCGATAGTCAAGTAAAATGTAAAATTGGCGATTTTAAAAAGTGGCATTCGTGCACTTTAAACGGAGAAGATTAACATTTTCTTCGTTAATATATTTCTCTACGCGACGGAACGGTGCCATCAGTGCTGCCATTGCAGACATCACTGTACCTATAAAACATTACTATTATACTAAATGTGAATAACGCATCGTACTCAATATAATCTACTCTAATAACTCAATATAAGTCGTCGTCCGTTAGCCTAATACTAAATAACGAGCAAAAGACTGAGCAAATGATGAAGTATTATTTTGTCGAGAGCGAATGAAGCTAGACTAAGCGATGCGTTTTGAATATTTGCAGTCTCAATCGAATTTAAAACTCGACTCGACTTTTTTGGCTGTCCTCGCATTGAGTTAATATTTGTATAGAGACGGCGATGACCGCCTTTTGCGCTGTACGAAAACTAGAACGATCTCTCTCCGTAAATACACGAGCAGTAAATCCCCTCCCCCCGAAATTGAACCGAAATTTCTGCGCAATCTTTCGCAAATTGAATCCATCATCCGAATCCGCGCGTTCAATTGACTTCCGAATCTCTAACAGATATTGATCAGGCAGCCGGTGCCACGGGTCATAACGCTACATAACGCTACGGGTCATACGCTGGGTCATTACCCAGCAGGTAAGCTACCGACAAGCCCTCCACAGCACCAGCACAGTCTCAACGTTACGTACCAATATCGATACATCCATACAATAATATAGTATATATATATATATATATATATATATGTGTGTGTGTGTGTGTGTGTGTGTGTGTGTGTGTGTGTGTGTGTGTGTGTGTGTGTGTGTGTAGTGTGTAGTGTGTGTGTGTGTGTGTGTGTGT